TGTTGAGTGGACATGTGACCCACATGACCTTACCTATCACTGGAGATGGCTCACACTCCTTACCCTGCCCCTTTGTCTTGTATCCAATAAATATCAGTGCTGCTTGGCATTCGGGGCCACTACCGGTCTCCATGTCTTGGTGGTTGCGGTCCCCTGGGCCCAGCTGTCTTTTCTTTTATCTCTTTGTCTTGTGTATTTATTTCTATAATCTCTCTTCTCCACACATGGGGAGAAAAACCCACCAACCCTGTGGGGTTGGACCCTACATATGTGTAAGATGGATATTGGTGGCAGACATGAAGTGGATGAGGCCTTAAACTCAGACTCTAACAGCAGAGAGAGATGTGGTAAATAACTGTGAAACAAGGAGGAACGTGGATGGGTCAACAGGGATGTGGAAAGAGATTATGTGCAGTGTGAGGATGCATTTGGGGAGAGCTTATAAGGATTAGGATTTAGGATGTGGGGAGCATTTGGGATTCTTCCGTTCATAGGGATTCTTCCCTTATTAAATGCCCTCTCAAGGAAAGAGAGCAAACTACTTGAATAAAAGAAGAAGAAAGCAAAATATTAAAGCATGCCACTAGGATCTAGGGCTGATTTTATGACTCTCACCTCCCTGATTCAGTTCACCAGGTTAATCTGTCCCTGTTTCTTGTTCATGTACATTTTAGTCTTGACTCAGGATAAAAACTTTTCCAAATAGTGGAAGTTAGCATTACTTATGAAATGCAACATTCACAGCTTTAACCAAATCATGGCTTTCTAGTAGTTCCTAGGTTGTGATTATTACTGAAAAATAAGCTAACCAGAAATTTTTCCATTGAATTTTTAAAGCTCAAAATGAAATCTCCTTTTCAACAGAGGGTGCTGAAACAACCATATATCCATGTGCCAAATAATAAAATTGAATCCCTACCTCATACCATATATCAAATGGAATCTCCTTGACTTCCCTGGAGTTCATAAACTGTTCATTGATTATATTACTGATTTTCTACTTTCAAGAGAGTGGTCTACATTGGATATTTGTATCCCCAGAATAAAACGATCTTTTTTGTTTGTGTGTTTTTTGCACTGATTACAGAAACAGCAGCATTTGGATGGAAACACAACATGACACACCTTTCTCTACAGTCTTCCTAACCAAGTCTCCCCCAAGAGGACTCTTGTGTGTGTCATGGCTATTGATCATAATAAGCCAGAGTGGTTTCTGCTCCTGCATTTCCTCCTTGACTCCAAGGATAAAGTAGATCTTCAATTTCAAGACTTAATGTGGCTCTTGTACAATTCCAGCAGAATGACCACAGTGATCCAATTATGTCATCTTCAGATGAAAAACATGAATTTGGGCCAAACATCCACTAAGGCCTGAATTTTTGTTTTCATGATGTCACCATGTCAGTAGACATTGAGATCTGGAAAGAGTATGCTTTCATAGCTCTGGGAATTACTGACAGAAGAATAACGTTTAATTTGTTTGTTCTCTAAAGAGTATTGGGGGAATGTCAGAAGGAGAGGAAAGGAGGAGAGATCATTAGGGGAATGATTTATGGTGTGCTGAATCGAGTTGGAATTTCAGGCCTGATATCCATGTCTAGTCAGGAAGATTTCAAAGTTGGTAAGAGAAACTAGTTTGCTTCTGGGGTGAGTTTTCATTTTGTTTTGAAAGTTTTTGATTTCACCTTCTATGATTGTCCCCTTTAATCAAAGTAAAATAAGAAATAATATCATGGATCTGAAGGACATTGACAGTTTCTCATTCTCTGGTCCTGCCTGTCTCTCTCTCACTGGAGAGTCATCCTGGTAAAAATATATTATGCAGGGATGAATTTATCAGGTTGTTTAGAACCCAGTTTTTTCTTCTTCTTTTTGATGTCATTTTTTAACCACTGTCTTCTAGTCCTCAACAGAGGGACACAAAGCAGTTAAAACTGAGATAGGTCTGATTTTTAATTCCTCATAACTTTGATAAGAGGTAAATGGGGAAGTGAAACAAGCTGAGGAATAAACCAGATGGACTGCCAATGAGTTCATCAGACCCCTGTATGCAGCACTCTGAATCTGGCTAAGGAGCATCTTTATTGGCTTCCTTGTCAAGTATGACCGAGTAGGAACAGAAAGTCACTAAATGTTTTTAAGGAAGTTAGGTTGTGTTAACTGCAAAGCGTTTGTTCAGAGCATGATATGCAAGTTTGAGTTCAGAGCTGAACTGCTTGATAACAAGGGAGGATTGCATTACTGAAGAAACCAGTAATCTCCTATCTCCACCCTTTGCTCATGAAACATTTTATCTCATCTTGAAAATAAATGCTGAAATATTTTTTTAAATACAAATATGTTTTGGGGGGCACCAAATTACAAGGTTATTCATGCCCTCATGTCTCAGCCTGGACCTGAAGTGTCCCTCTAATTCATGAAAGGTAACTTTCACTGCTGGTGAAAGTGAATGCAAAGGCCGTGGAAGAGCTAAACATGGATTCCCATTTATTCAACAGGCTTTTCATGGCTTGAGTATGTGCCTGCCCCATACTGTGTGCCATGAAGAAGACAGACAAGTGAAAGGTTCAATGTCAGCCTTCGTGGAGCTTCCTGTGGTCAGGATACGAGGGTATCATAAAGCTGTCCCAAAACTTCAGAAATGAATCTGGACAACCACGTAAAAAATGTTGTCATTCTGGAATGTCAATCTGTCATTCTTTTATATAACTTTTCCAACACTGAGAAAAATCATCTAAAAAAAACTTGAAATGTAAACTTGAAAAGTATAGATCTATGTACAACTCTAAAACCTATAGATTAATGTACAAAGATGTCTGTGGTGTCACTACTTGAAACAGTGAAAGGTTTGAATCAACATAAGTGTCCAAGATCAGCAGCATGATTATGTAAATTATGGAATATACTGTAATAATAGGGCACCTTGAAGATGATGTTTCCAATGAGATTTTGAGGAAAACATGTTTGATATAACAGGAAGTATAAAAAGCGATGTATAAAATTGCCTTTATAGGATCATCTTAGCTATACGAAGTAACCTAGAGAAAGAAAAATATGCTGAAATGTTAACAATAGTTATCTATGGATTAGACTCTGGGGGATTGTCATTTAATCCTCTAGAGCCACAGGGTCCAACAGTCAGCCACAAGCTACACGTGGCTATATGAATTTCAGGCACAACACTAAACTAATTACCTGGATCCTTCTTGCATCCAAGTGGGTACATGTAACTTATGTGGACAGTGGGATGGGAACAGTTGGGATAGATACCACTTCTGGGCCTCATCAGAAAATGATCTACATAATATTCCATGCCCTTGCCTTCTCTGCTTTCTGTGTAGCTATGGGAGAAGGACTTTAAGATGGTAGAACCACTGGATAGACTGTGACAAACCCTGAGTTTCTGCTTGGAAGAGCCCATGGGAGCTGCCAGGATGGGAATATCTGCAGTGGAATTTGAGTAAAAAACCAAACCCTTGTTGGGCTACTCCAGTGGAATTTTGGGGTTTTTGGTAACATAGTAGCTAGCAACATTTACTCTGAAAAATAAAACAATAATTTGACCTTCTGTGTGAAAGTTGGTGACACAGCAGGCCTGGTTATCTAATCCTTGCATACCTCCAGGAGAGTCCAGAACCATGGTTGACCTTTGGCCAACCCCTATGAATGTGACCCTTGGGATGTTACAATTGATGACATTGGTTTGTACCCCAGAAGCGATAGGCCATGCTGTACCAACTTGTCAGGATCATTTGGCAAACTTTATAATGTCTACCTGGTATCTATGCTGTGGTTCTGAGATTCAGGCATCATGGCCGTTCGTGCAGCAGAAATGCGCCTACCAGACCAGCCCTCCCCAAAAGCCTCAGCCTCCAGTGGACTTCCCTGGACAGAGACCTCTCATGCATGTTCCCTGCAAGGGAGAAAGCACGTTCTGTGTGACTCATTAGGGAAGGAATTAGAGGCCTGCAGCTGACCACGCTGGGCTTCTCCTGATGCATTTCACTTTCCAGCTCCTTTTATCCCATATCCTGTGCTATAATAAACCTTAGCCATGAATGTAATCTGTGAGTACTCCTGAAACATTGAATTAGAGGATGGTCACAGGATGCCCAAAATAACCCCCACATAAGTTATTTCTCCAGGAATATAGAGAACATATCATCCAAAATAAGCATATGCTTTCTGCACAGCCCTTATATATCTTACCATCTGTTACTACCATCTGTTGACATTCTATCCTAGACATCAAACTCTTGTGAATTTGGCTGATGTGAGTCAATTCGTAAAAGCCTGATTGCAAAAGTCTCACCCTCTGGGCTGCAGAACTTAGAAGAGTTATTTGGAATTCTGTGACCCCTTGCAGTGGGTGATGCTCTTTCAGTGGCCAACCTGGATGGCATCTCTCCAATGTGTCTCTGACATGCATCACTTAGCCTGTAATAAGGTGGAGCAAGTCTAAGTACACTAAAGTAGGAGTTGGCAAGTTACGACCCATGGGCCAAATTTGGCCCACCAATTGTTTCTGCATAGTCCACTAGTGAGGAATGGTTTTTACATATTTAAATGGCTGGAACAAAAATCAAAAGAAGTGTAATATATCATGACATATAAAAATGATATAAAATTCAAACTTCAGTTTCTATTAGGAAAGTTGAATTGAAACAGACAAGCCCGTTTGGTTATTTGTTGTCTATGGCCATTTTTCTACTACAGCAGCGAAGCTGAAGAGCTGTATAAACATCCTCTGGCCCACAAAGCCTAAAATATTTAGTATTTGCCCCTTGACAGAAAAAGTTTGCTGGCCCCTGCTCTAAAGTCCTGAATGTCCCTGCAAGCCTGACTTAGGAAGGCCTTTGACAAGGAGAATTTGTTTTCCCCTCAATATTACGATTTCTACACCCCCTTTGCCCCGAGACAAAGACCCTGTGGCCAAGGCTGTTAAAACAGAGTCCACGTAGCCCTGGATTTCAGGAGAAGTCCTGGAGAAAACCACTTACGTAGGATCCGTAATCCACAGCCAGGGTCTGTAGAGCCCAGGGGAGACCGAGGCCAATCAGAATGTCAAACACGTTGCTCCCAATGGAGTTGGACACGGCCATGTCTCCCATCCCTGCAGCAACAAGAGGTCACTTAAGTGAGGGAACGGAACCCAGGAGAGTGCAGGGGCTCCACATAGGACTCTCCCAAACCTTTAATCTCACAGCCAGAGTGTGGTTCTGCAAGCTCACATATGTGCTTCTCTTTCAAGGCCATCACCCATGTGAAAGGATGACACCAATTATCAAGCATAGAAACACACGTTCTATTGAATGGTTGACCTTTACTTCAAACATGATCACTGATTGAATATAAGTGATTCAAAAAACCAAATACAGTGATATGCTTTGTGTCTGTGTCTCCACAAAATCTCATGTGGATTGTAGTCCTCAGTGTTGGAGGTGAGGTTTGGCGGGAGGTGATTGGATTATGGGGGTGGTTTCTTACGAGTGGTTTAGCACCATCCCCCATTGGTACCAGCTTTGTGACAGTGAGTGAGATCTCGTGAGATCTGGTTGTTTAAACGTGTGTAGCACCTCCCCCTACCCTCTTGCTCCTGACATGTAAGGCATGCCTGCTCCCCATTCACCTTCCACCATGACTGAAGTTTCCTGAGGCATCCCCAGAAGCTGAGCAGATGCTGCCATGCTTCCTGTACAGCCTGCAGAACCGTCAGCCAGTTAGAGCTCTTTTTTGATAAATTACTCAGCCTCAGGTATTTCTTTACAACAATGTGAGACACACTAATACAAATGATTTCAAGGATTCTGGAGATTCTGAGACATCCTTATGGAAAGAAATAAATTCAACCATTCTAGAAAGTGACTCCTGAGATAACACCTGCACACTGGGTCATCTTCCAACTGCCCTGCACTGTCTCTAGGCCTTCTTCAGAATAACTGAACAATAGTGTAGACAATAGTAGAGCTTCGTGAGGATGTCTATGGGACACTGGGCTAAGTTTTGTAGCTCAACACACATTTGTTTGAAACAAATGCCCTCCAGCATAAATCAGGCAGATGCATCAGAATGAGTGCTGCAGAAGGGTGTGACCATCTGGGGCATCTGTTTGGGAAAGTGAGCTGTGAGCCTGTGAGCTTGGCTTTGAAGGAGGGAAGGATCTGTCACACTCTGAAAACTGACCTCTGGGACCTGTCACTCAGAGGGCACTGCAGGTGGGTCAGCTTTAGGGATGGGATCTGTCCTCTCTAAGCCTCAATTTTCTTGTCCATAAAACGGGGGTATGATTATGCTTACTTCACAGAGCTGTTGTTTAAATCAAATAAGATACTGCATCTGCGATGCTTTACTCAGCAAAGGTTAGCTGTCAGTACATTTCCCACTACTTTGAATAATAGAAGGATGGTGATACAGCCTCCAGAAGAGGCTACGGGTGCTACCTGGAAATGTCTTTGTTTTCCTCAAGGATGGGACCTTCTGGATCATTTCTCTGTTCTTCTGATCCCAGGAAACCTTTCAACCAACATGGCATCACCCTCCCTCCTTCCAAACCTTGTTAATTGCCAGGTAGGTACCCCAGGTAGAGAGGCCCTCTCTTCCTTCCTTCCTTTGTTCCTTCCTTCCTTCCCTCTTTCCTTCCTTCACTCCCTCCCTCCCTCTTTTCTTCTCTTCTCTCTCCTTCCTTTCTCTTCTCCCTCCTGCCTTCCTTCCTTCCCTCCCTCCCTCCCTTCCTCCCTCCCTTCTTCCCTCCCTCTTTTCTTCCCTCCCTCCTTCCCCATTGCCACTGGAAGTCCCACCTTGTCTGGCCACAATGAGGCTGGCCATGCAGTCAGGCACGCTGGTCCCGGCAGCCAGGAAGGTGATCCCCATGATGACATCAGGAATCCCCAGGGTGTAACCAATGATTGTGACCTAGAAGGAGCAGGAAGAGATGGTGAGCTGAGGGTCACCTCAAGCCCCACCGGCCCAAGGTTCTTCTGATGGAGACTCACAACAGGGTACCGTCTGGGCTATCTCTGTGGGGTGCAATGTCGGCTCTCTGTATCAATACTATGTGGATGCCGGCTGGGGCTGCAGGTCAGGGGACGGTGCTATAATAGGACCCATGCTTTCCAACAAAACATTGGTCTTTTCACTTGTTCTTTTCAGGTGAGGTGGGTGGTTTGAGAAGAGAAAATAGAATTTCTTAATATTGGGACAGAATATTTGAACTACGGGTGGCTCTGAGGAATCCAGAAAGGATGAATGCTTTGCTTGGAATTTGAGTGTCCATGTCAGGGGGGATGCATAATGGGAATTTAGAAGAACTGCAAAGGGGCTGGATTTGACAGTATCCATACTTGTCAGAAAAGGCATAACTCTAAGGTTGGGCACAGTGGCTCATGCTTGTAATCCTATCACTTTGAGAAGCCAAGTTGAGAGGACTGCTTAAGTTCAAAAGTTCTAGACCAGCCTGAGCAACATAGTGAGACCTTGTCTCTACAAAAAATTTTAAAAATTAGCTGGGCATGGTGGTGTATGCCTGTGGTCCCAGCTCCTTGAGAGGCTGAGGCAGGAGGATGGCTTGAGCCCAGGAAGTTCAGGCTGCGATGAGCTGTGATAGTGCCATTGTACTCCAGCCTGGGCAACAGAGTGAGACCCTGTCTCAAAAAAAAAAAAAAAACAAAAGGACAAAGCCGTAACTAGCATTTCCTTTTCTCTGTTCCTTGAAGCTTGGTAACAATTTGCTGTCCTCGTCCATCTTCATCATAATAGCTTCTGGGGACCATTATCTTAAGTGAAACAGCTCAGACACAGAAAGTCAAACTCCACATGTTCTCACTCATAAGTGGGTGTTACGTAATGTGTACACTTGGACATGGGTGTGGGATGATAGGCAATGGAGCCTCAGAAGGGTCAGGCGCAGAAATGTTGTGTTTCTGCATCTCATTTTCCTCCCTGGAGACTGAAAGTCAGGAAGGCCAGAGGCCACCCCAGTTTAAATTCAGCACAGAATGAAGTGGGGTGGGTGATGACAAATTACTTTAACGGGTACAAGGCACATTATCTCAGTCATGGATACATTAAAGTCAGGACTTCGTCACTTCCATCACACAATATGTCCATGTAACAAATTGCACTTGTACCGCTTAAACTTATGCAAATATAGAAAAGGCAAACGTAAGCATGCTTAAAAAAACAAAAGCAGTTGATGAGGCAGATGATGAGGGAGCTGGTGGCAAAAAAAGAGGTAACTGGAAAAAGAGACATATTCCCTGCACGTGGGCCCAAGAAGAAGATAACTCACAAGAGTTGAAACTGTTAGATCATTTTAGGATGCCACTTTCCATAAAACTACAGGAAATGCAAACCACATGTTGTGAGGAGCACATTCTTCTCACAGTTCCTCCTGGGCCAGCCCTTGAGAGACACCTACACCCGGAACCCTGACTTCACTCCAAAGGCCATAATCCCTCCTTCCCTGTTCAAAGACTGGGGGGATGTGAGTGAAATCCATACAGATGCCTGCCTTGCCTCCTTTCAAACCAGAGAATGCAGCTCATTTCTGTTCAGTACTGAGCAGAACTGAACAGAATTGAACCTGGGGTGGCCACAGGGCTTTCTGACTTCCAGTCTCCAGGGAGGAAAGTGAGCTGCAGAAACACACGCTGTTTCTATTTTGTTGCTTTGAAGCAAATGGAGCTACCGGCATCCTGGTCAAACCTTGTTTTTCCTTTTTAACCCTCAGTTCAGTCCCTGTAGGAATCTGGTTTGGCTCAGCCAGGCTTGGCCTCTGGCTCATCATTTTCATGATCATATTTGTGGCTTGGTCTGGAGTTCAGGGGAGCAGACTGCTCAGGTGGCTGGGACCAGGTCTCCGGCTTCTCCTAGTTTTCTCCCTTAGTCCTGGGCATCGATTGGGACTTACTAGAACCTCCGCTGGAGGGAAAGGAAGCAAACAGAAGGAGGTTGAACCTCAGATGAGTCAGGTCAGTTAGACTGCTGGTTAGGGGACTGCACAGAAAATCACATAGCACCTTAAGGTCAGGGACAGCCAACACTGTCCCCCAAACCCAGATAAGAGGTGGCACTTGGTACATATGTCAGATAAAAACATTAGTGAATGCAGGATGAGGGAGAAACCCCTGGCTATAAACCTTGGGTTTTAAAAAAATGTTTGTGATATTGAGGAAAGAGAATATTATGAATTAGTTGTGTCAGGTTTACCAATTTGCAATCCATGTAACAAAATTTTTCTGGGTATTTTTGGTCCTACCAAAATACCTTTTTCAGAACCTTCTTTTTAGCTCTTGAGTTTAATTCTCCAGATTTATATTGCATTTCTGTCCAACACTCAAGGCAAGATTAATTTGGATTTGCATCATTTTGCCATGCCTTTTAATTTCTGGCCAATTCTAATGATTTGGAATTGCTCCCCCGTTAAAAAGTATAGCCATAAATGGGCAATGCATTCTGGAAGGCTGCGTTTCCTCAAATGGCTTTGTTAATGTCAAAGCCACTGAATCAATGTCAATCAACTAATGTCAGTGAATGTCAATCGACCAATGTGAATCACTGACTCATTATTTTAGCCTCAGAAGGGACCCTTGAGTGATCACCTAATGCAATGCCTCATTGTCTGGTTGAAGAAACTAAGTTGCTGATAGGGATTGATCACCATTTCCCAATTCTTCATGCCTTTCCTCCATGTCCTTTGCCCTGAGACATGGCTGTTCTTCCCACTGGAGCAGGTGGAGTACATTTCCCCCATGCCATTGATGTGGGGCTTGGCCAGTAAAATGTGAGTGGACGTGATGGTAAGTCAGGGCCAGGAGAAGACCAGGGAGGCATCTCGTGTTTTCATGTACTCTCTTGCATTCTAATGATGCACTGTGAGAAGAGAATATCCCAGGTAGCTAGTCTCTAGTACAAAGAAAATGAGCAGACATGTGGAGTAGACATGGACCCCACCTGCTGCCTGAATCAAACACAACCACCCTGAAGCCTGAGAGACAGTTGCATAGCAAGTCCCAGCTAAGATTGATAAATCTACAGTCAACCTGAAGAGGTGTGAGCAGGAGAATCGATGCCTGCAATTCTAAACTACTAAGTTTAGGAGTGGTTCGTTGTGCAGCTTATTGTAGCAATAGCTGACTGGTACAGTTATAGGCCGAAACCCTGACTCTTATTCCCTTCTTTTTCCTCTAAAGAGGTTTAACAGTGCCATGGGGTCCCAACTGCACTCACCATCCACACCATCATGTAGGAGAAGGCTGCGATCCACAGCGTGGAGGAAGCAAACGTCACCATGAACCATTTCTCCCAGCGCGGCTTGTTGCAGTTGGGTACAGTGAAGTATAAGACGAAACTCAGTGGCCAGGTGAACGCCCATTTCACTGTTTCCAGTTTACCCGCTGGAAAAATGAAAACGGCCAAAAAGAAATAAAAAGAAAAAAATAATAAAGAACCCCAGTTAGCTTTATTTCCCTGCACTGCCAAGTGTCTGTACTGCTTTCCCCAGAATTAAACCTTATTATATTGCTCTTTTCCTAAAACATTCAAATGACTTTCCATCACCAACGAAACCTGACATACAACACCAAGCAGAATTAAAAAAAAAATTATCCACTGCCCACCTGTTAGTTAGGTCTCCGAAATGAGAGGGTGAATCACTTCTTAGTAACACCGGACTTGGGGGATGGTTTGGCAGATGGCCAGGTGGGAAAAAAGAGGAGGATACTCAGGACAAAAAAGAGGCGGAATGTGTGTAGGTGTAGGGGGTCGAAATGGGGGTGGGGAGCTAGGAAGACCACCAGTGGGCTTCTGTTTTCCACGTTTTCGCCCAATAATACAGCGTCAGCGGACGCAGCGCCACCTGGTGGAATTTCTCAGCATGGTCTGTCAGCGGGCCGGAATCTTCAAAGAGGATTTGAAGGCTCTGCCTAGACTTGTATTACTGTCCTGATTAACTGCTAATTCACCTCTAGGAAGAAATATGCATACATATTTCCATGTACTCCTCAATGCAATCCAGATACGCAGTGTCTCTACCTTCCAGAAAGTTTCCCGTGCCTCTTTCTAGTCAACTCCTCACCCTCTACCACCATAGATACTGTTTTAACTGTTTTCCAACTTCAAATAAAACCATATAGGATGTTTTCGTGCCTACCTTCTTCTGTTCAGCCTAATGTGATTGAGATTCATTCATGTTGCGTGATCCATTCCTTTTAATTGCTGTGTAGTATTCCATCCTATGAGTGTGCTACGATTTGTTATCCATACGGCGGTGGGTGAGCATTTGTTTGTTGCCAGTGTGAGGGTATTACAAGGCAGATGACTGCGAACACTGTTGTACAAGTCTTTTTGTGGGCATGTTTCATCTCTCTTGGATGAAGACCCAGGAGAATTGCTGAGTCATAGGGTGGGTATTTATTTAACTTTATAAGAAACTGCTAGTTTTCCAAAATGACTGAACCATTTTATATTCCCACCAGAGTTAAGGGGGAATTTTTATAACATTTAAACAGTAATTAAATGTTTAATAAAATGTATTTTAAAATTTTAGACCAGTATCCAGTATTTGTTTCATATATCCTACCAATCTCCCAATAGTTTCTAAAAACTGCATAGATAGAACAATTATCTAACATTATTTCGGGCACCCTCTGGCCTCTCTTAAATGGCCGAGGCACAGTGTCTATGGGAGGCAGAGGGGTTTCTCATCAGATGGTGCTGGGCTCTGGTCCCTGCTCTGTGGCTGATGAGCTGAATGACTCCGTTATTTAAATTTTTTACACCTCAGTTTCTTCATCTATGAAAATGTGTATACAGCAGCACTGAGCTGACAGAGTTGCTTGGAGAATTAAATAAGATGATATTAGGACGACGGCTGGGACAACATGAGCTTGCAAGTTGTTCCAGTCAAAATCCTGGGAGTCATTCTTGATTCTTCCCTTTCTTGTATCACCCACAGCCAACCCTGGCAACCTGACAGGGTATTCCCACCATCTCACTATTCCCACAGCCTCTGCTGGGGCCAGGTTCACCAAGCCTGGCTGACAACCTGGCTTCCTAAGGGGACTACTGCTCCAATGCCTGTCCTATCTCCATCTGTTTGCTACCAGTAGCCAGAGGAAAGAGTCTCAAAAATCAAATTGTTCTAGAACCTTCCATTGGTCTCCACTGCCCTTAGAGTAAAACCAGGTCTCCCCACCATGGTCTGTAAGGCACTGCCTGATTTTGCCCCAACTGCCACTCTCCCTGCTCACGTACTCCCTGGTCTTGGCTTGCTTTCTGTCCTCAGACACTCCAACCCTTTTCCTGCCTCAAGGCCTTTGCCCTCACAGGTCTTCTTCCTGGATCTTCTCATGGCAGAGTCTGCCCTGTCACGCAGACCACTTCGCTGCTCAAATGTCATCGGGCCCTCAGATAAATCTAAATATAACCCTTATCATCTCAGTCCTGCTTTTCTATACTCCTTTTTATTTGTTTCATCCAAATATTTCCTGTCTTAAACCATCAGGGTTGTTTGTTTCTTAATTTATTTTCGGTCTCCATCAAATTAGAACAAAGTCTATGAGAACAGGGGTCTTCTCACTTGTTTAGCACCTGATTTTGAAAGGCAGGAATAGTCCTGAGCTTATATCACATTTTCAGTAAATAGTAATAACAATTGTAGTAATAATGTTATTATGAACAATTTAATCAGACAGACCAAAGAAAATTACTTGTTTTTGAGAATCTAAGGCTATCCAAAATACAAGTACAGAGTAAAGCAAGCAAACAAAAAAGTACTAAGAAAGGAGAAGTATTTTCCTATTAGCCGCTATGAATCTTGTTAGATTTAAGATTTGGAGATGGTTAAGTGAATGATGAGAACATAGAGACTGTGCTTGCTTTGTAAACCAGGAAGCCTGGCTGAGAGTTGTTTGGAGACGGGCTTCCAAATGTTGCAGAATCCAGGATATGGGCAGCTCTTTGGATCCCACATGCATCCTGGAATTCTGCACATTCCTAAATCCTGCAATGTGCTGATAAGGCATTTACCCATGTGGAACTCCTAGAATCTCCTCAATGGCCTTCCATATGGCTGATGCCCTCACACGGACAGAGAGACTTAGTTTAGTTTAAAATGCACACCCAATCAAAGATGACAAAGAAACACATGAAGAGGAGGAGAAATAATCCCAACTTGACTCTTACATTTTTCAGAAAACAAATAAATAGAGGGAAGAAAAAATGAAGTCAGAACTTACAAGTGCAAGAGCTTGGAAAATGATATTGATTAGACAAAGTTGCAAGAAGTGTGAGTGCCAGCGAATATTGAGTTCTTATCAACTGTTTTAAAAATTTCTGACTGGACACTGGGAGGGCATTATATCTGGAAAATGTCATTTTCAATGATATATATGCTTGCTTTAAGTTATTGCCCCTTTGTAACAACAACCACCTTAAAACTAGAAATTTAATGAGCATTATCTGAATCATATATTTAAAAGTAAAACAGCAAATATAACAAATATAAGGTACAAATATAAGGTGTCTTTTAAAAATGATTTTGAGGAGCAAAGACAGTCAAATAATGATTACCCACATTTTAGCTGGTCTTAATTTTCCTTCTGTTTTTTTTTTTTTTTTTTTTTGGAGACAGAGTCTCACTCTTTTGCCCAGGCTGGAGTGCAGTGGCGTGATCTCAGCTTACTGCAACCTTCGCCTCCCAGGTTCAAGTGATTCTCCTGCCTCAGTCTCCCGAGTAGCTGGGATTACAGGCGTGTGCCACCATGCCTGGCTAACTTTTGTATTTTTAGTAGAGACGGGGTTTCGCCATGTTGGCCAGACTGGTCTTGAACTCCTGAACTCAGGTGATCCGCATCCTCCCTTTGCCTCCCAAAGTTCTGGGATTACAGGCGTGAGCCACCGCTCCCAGCCCTTAATTTCCATTTCTGAATAAAGGGGTTAAAAAGGTTTCCTTTCCTCCTTGAGTCAACAACATATCTGGACATTTTTTCCATCTTCTGCTCTATTACCATTGGGTCAAAATAGAGCAGCAAAGGGGATAGGTTTACTCTTCATTCATTCATTTAATACATATTTGTTGAATGCCCTCTATGGCATTTTGTGCCGGCCGACTGCTGCAGGTGCTGGGGGTACAGCAATGAATTAAGGGAAAAAACTTCCCTGCACATGGACCTGATGTGCTGGTGATTACCTGATTTCACAAAAGTCAGCCAGCAACTGAGAGCTGAAGCCAGGGGCCTGAGCCGGGCCCATAAGCATGATAGTATCCCTTTGGGTTGGACTTGGCTTTAGCAAGCAAAAAGATTTGTTTCTAAATTATGTTCCTCAGTCAGCTTTAAGAAAGCTGAATTCTATCAGAGAGAGAAAAAGTTATTGCACAGTATTTTAGACCTAGACTTAAATACATGCATTTGTTCCGATAATATAGGCAATAAAAATGCACACTGTTTTAAGGTAAAAAATATAGAAAAATATAATTTTGCTTTGCAAAACCTACTTGTATTTTGGTGTATTTCCTTCTAGTTTTTCTTTCCCATGGAAATGTGTTTACCTATATACACAAGAAAAGGTTTCTTTTGCTGTCTGTCAACCATAAGGCTTTCTTCACCCAAGAGATAACAACAGCTGCACGTTTATATGCATGTATGTGCATATACCAAGTGTAGGAGTATATAATATATATTATGTGCATATAACCTATAATATAGTATATACATATATAAACATAAATATATTAATATCTGTGCATATATTATACATGTATACAATATATTGAGTGTATACAGTATACATGCGCGTGTTAATATGTTATATTAATCTTGAATTGCACACTGTACATATATGTACATATACGAACTCACAAACAGTATTCACATACTCCTAAATAATTACTTTCTTGGTAATCATCATACTCACTCTGGTCAAGTCCTGAGAGAAGAAAGCACTGTGGCTGGGTGCTGGAAACACAGGGTACTCACGCCTTGCAGGACGACTATGAATGACTATGAGAGAGAAACATGTCCTCATCGTGTGGGTGGACCCTTTTCAGGCCACAGGAACTTGACTTGATAGGAACCCATCTTGGGGCTCCCAGAACTGACTCCCTGGCTTCTGGATGCCCTCTGCTGGCCAGAAGCACCCCTCAGGCTTCTCACCCGTAAGCAGAGGCCTGTCTGCCCCTGCAAGGGGCCTGGCTGGGCATTCAGTCCCCTTGCCTTAAAATGGAGTTCCTAATTCTGGGCCTGGGATTCCTTAGCAGCTGGTAGAGGGGAAGAGACAGTTGTAATTGGGGGAGTTCACTCTCTTCAAAGGCAGACTCGGGCTCTGAATCAGGCTTTCGTGCATCTTAGAAGAACTGGGATGATCGCTGAGTGCCTCTAGGTCTCTAGCCCCTCGGTGCTCCAAGTGCGGCACACAGACCAGCAGCGCCAGTGTCGCAGGATGCGGGGGGTTCTTGATTAGCAATGCAGACTCGGGCCTCACCCTAGACCTCCTGAATCAGAATGTGCATTTCATTAAGGAAGCCCAGGTGATAAGGGCTGGTAGAGAAGAACTTGGAATTCTGCTTTCTATCTTGGCAGCTGGGGGTCCTTGAAAGACATGGAGACCCCAACGGGATGGTATGACCACACAGAATATCATCTCCTCTCTCTTGCCTGTGCTTCAAGAAGGACATGGGAGGGGATGTGGGGTTCCTGAGCCTCAGGTGCAACATTTGTTGGGGTGAGATGCCTGCAGCCATGTCTCCTAATACACAGGAGCCCAGAAGGTGTGGCTGGAAGGTCTGAGGCCTCCATCATCTGCAACCTAATCACAGTGAGACAGAGGGTTGGGAGCAGGAGTTTCAAAGACCTTGAAACCGCACGGTGAGCTCTCATCCAGAAGAGAAATATGGAACCAAGGATCTGAAGGGGGCGCTGGGTCCCAGTCAGTAACGAGGCCCAGGCACTGTGCCAGACTTGGCCTCATCTCACGCACGCATCTTTCATTGTCCCCTGGAGGGGTGCACTTGGGGATTCTGGGCTCCCAAGATGCTAACATAGAACTTGGCCACTTACAGACCTTCCACTGGCTCGACTATTTCTTTAATTAGTGAAAGAGTTTAGCAAAATAAGCATTACTGGAGCTTGGTTATGGCCAGCCAATGGTGGACTCTGAAAGCAGGGGCTGAGTAGGTGGAATTCTAGACATGGGTCCCTAAGATTCTCAGGGTCTGTGAGTGGGATGAGCTATCAGCTTTGTGACTCTGCTGTGCTGTATGGCACAGTTGACCTTTAGGTAGAGAGATTGTGCAGGTACCTGATCTAGTTGCAAAGAGTTCTCAAAAGTAAAAGGGGAGCCAGAGAGATTAGGAATGATGGTGGGAAGAGGTCCACACATCCAGGTGAAGGTGGAGGGGCTCCATGGCTTTTAGGAACAGTGGGACATCCCCAGCTGACAGCCATCAAGGAGCTATACAGCCACAGTGAACTGGTGCCTGGTAATGATTTCTCCCAGGGCCTCTGCAAAGGAATGGAGCCCTGGCTACACCTTCATTATGGCCTGTGAGACTAAGAATCCAGCTGGACTTCTGACCTACAGAACTGTAAGGTAATCAGTGGGTCTTGTTTTGAGCTGCAAAATATGTGGTATTTTGTTAGGCGGCAACAGAAAATGAATGGAAGGGTTTAAAAGGGAGGAAAGAGTGTTTTTTGTCATTTAATTCTTAAGATGTTTCTGTCTTGGTTGATGGGAAAGGTTGCCAAGAAATATATCCGATGGTGGCAAAATGGATAAAGGACGAGTGTACATTTTTTCTATGAAGATAATGTACTAACAAGTGATGATTCAGCTTTGGGTGGGAGGTGAGGGAATGGGGGATTATAGGAATGTGGATGAATATTTTCTGATTCGTTTTGGTAAGTTCTTGATGAGGTTGACATCTTGGGTGCCCTGAGTGGGCACAGGGCAGCTCTGATTGAAGTTTTACTTGCTGTCCTCTGGACAGAAAGGAGCTCCCCTGGAGCACAGCAAGACCCTGCATCTGAAATTAACACTGGACTCTGACGCTCGGCACCATGTCCTACCACTAAATGGGCTTTCAAGTGGATCAAACGTTTCCTCAGATAATCCTGCACATTCAAACATCCCAAAGAGGTTGCTGCACATGTATACTGAGCCTCACACACTTGACAGTCAATGTGAATCAGACTAGTGTACTCTTCCCTGAAACAGCCAGAAGCTTCTGGAAGGTCCAGCAAATAGGCAGAATTCTTTGGGCTTGGTCCAACTGCTCCGATAATGGGTGGGGTGGGGTGAAACAGTTTCTGGAGCAACCAAGTCCTTGTTGGAGGCAGCAGTTGGGAGAGGAGGACACTGCCCTGGCGACTGAGGTCCTGAAAGCTTCTTCAGGGCTTGGCGTCCACCAGGGCTGACCTTGGCAGGACAGCTCTCCTGGTGAGGTACAATGGGATGGGTGGAGGTGAGTGATGTGCCTCTCCTTTTGTGCACCAAACTGCCTTGCCCACAAGGGTCATGGGCATGTCCTCCTTCATACCAAAAATTCCTGCAGAACAGCTAAGTAAGATAAGACCATCCCCTGAAACCAGCCCAACTGTCCCATAGAACTGATGTTTATAGTTTCTTTTGAATTAATATAAAAACTGACTCTCAGCTTTAAAACTTGAGAAACGTTCATTTGTCTTCTCTGAGCTCTTTTCTCAGGAAATGGACCATTAGGCCTCCCAGATGGCATTAAGGAACTGAAACTCACCAGATCGTTGTGTCTGGACAATGAGGAGTCAGATCTCTCCTTCATCGTGATGCCTGATGGACTGCCTACTTCCTGCGGAGCAACTCCTCTTCCTTACTTCTCCCTAATTCCTATTTGCCGGAAGGTAGCTACATTCCTTCCCTGCTATATAAATCCCCAATTGCAGTTGCTCAGTGAGATGGATTTGAGACTGATCTCCTATATCCTCGGCTGCAGCACCTGATTACAGCCTTTTTCCCTGGCAATATTCGTTGTCTCAGTGACTGGCTTTCTGTGCACTGATGAGCAGGACCTAGACCAAATCCCTGGCATTTCAGTAACACTTGCACAAAACACAGCTGATTAAAGAGCTCACATTTCAACCAATGATCATGGACCCCCATCTTGGCCGTCTTTGAACTTCTACAACAAAGTCCTGCCCAAAGAAGACTTGATATACATATTCTCATGTTCATACAGAGATTTTAAAAAATTGAATGGTAAAAAGATCATTCAAGTCAGGGGCATCTACTCAGTGGCTCAAAATAGCTCCCAACCCCAACCCAGACATAGAACCTCTTACAGGGGGGGTCGAATGGCGTGTATGGTCCTTCATCATCATCTTCGTCCTCCTCTTCCTCCTCGTCATTCTCATTGTCCTCATTTTCATTCTCTGTTTCGTTGCCAGCCTCAGCCACAACATCGTCCCTCCGTGTCCCATTCACGCCCCTGTCTGGGGCACTGCTGGGCCCTGTCCCATTCTCCACAGTGTGCTTAATTGGGATTTTGATGGCCACCTCGGATTCCCCGTTGGTATAAGCCCTGCTGTTTATCAATCTTTGTCTCTGGAAAGAGAAAGGTGCACTCTTACCACAGTCAGCGGGATTGCAAATACCTTACACTCAGAACACGAACTGTTGGGATTTTTTCCTGGCAGCTGACGAGATGCTTCCAGAAGACCCTGGAGTCAAGTTTTAAGGGGCCTCTCAATGTGATAACCAACTCCAGACAACGTCCTTCTGGGAGGAAAGATTAATTTTTGCAAATTTGAATTTGCAAATTAGAATTTGCAAATCCCTTTAGAGGAAAATTCTTGTGTCTGGGATGTGCAGTTCCTTGATACTCTGTGTACTGTGGTGTCATCTTTCTTCCCCAGACTGCAGGAGTTCCTGGGTCCCTATGTGAGAAAGCTGAACAACTGTGTTTGGACTAGTGTATCAACAAGGCTACACTCCAGAAAAGGAATGCACAGCAAAATTCAAGTTAGGGACTCTGTATTACTTTAAACTAAGGTAACTCTTAGTTAGCAACAATTTCTGTGCAAGTTTACGTCAGGGAGTTTTATTCAAATGGAACAATAGAAGAAAAATGTGGGTGAAAGGGAGAAGGAACAGGGGAGTTTTCTATATAAATGGGAATTAGTCCATGTCTCAACACGTGGAGGGAATAGCAAGGGCCAGATACACAGCTGGTCCAGGGAACTAAGATTGGGAAATGGCTGAGGGATGCTGCGGTGTTCAACTTTGAGTTAGGTGCTTCTTCTTTCAAACAAGAAACGTTCTCTCTTTCCCAGAGTTTCCCACCCCTGTCCAGTGTCAGTGGACAGTGCTTTCCAAGGTACCTCATTGATCAACATGCGACTGGCCATGGAGAGCCGGGTCTTGGGGGGAAAGTGGCTGGTGATCATGATTCGAAGGCCAGCCTCAGAGAAGGAAAGCTGGTGTGGGTAGGCCGACAGCAGCTCGTCCACCATGATCACTGATGCTTTGCGGTGGAAATTTGCTAGGGAAATGGAAAACATAAGGTAAAATAACATTGAGGCCAGGAACAGGAAAGAGGCATTCATTTATTCTTCCTTCCCTTCCTTTCTCTTCCTCCCTACTTTCCTCCCATCCATTCACCCATCCATCCATCCATCCATCCATCCATCGATCCATTCATCCACTCTTCTTTCCTTATTTCTTCCTTCCTTCCACCGATCAATCCATTCATTCTTCTTTCCATCCATCCAACTCACCTATCCACCCATCCATCCACTCTTCTTTCCTTATTCCTTCTTTCCTTCCTTCTTTCCATTCATCCAGCCAGCCAGGAAGGGTTGCAGTGAGCAAATTTTGAACAAGTCAAAATCTCCTTTCCATGGGTGTTAACGTTAAATCTTTTGAAAGGACTTGAAACAATTTAAGCATCATTCATTGACATGGTAAGAATTAATGATACCATAAGAGAATTCCTCCTTGTCCTCAAAGGATTCTTTTCCCACCACTCAGATCTGGGGCACAGAGAAGACTCTAAGAACTTTGTACTCTATATGTCCTTCAAATGTCAGCAATATTCATCCTGAGCTGTTAAATGCTACTGGATTAACGTTAGTGCAGTTCTGCATTGGGGGACATGGTGGTGAAATGTACACATTCCCTCAGTGCAGTCTATGAGCAGAGCTGACAAGGGGTGGGTGAGTTGTTCATGTTACAGAGAACCGAGGTCAGAAGGGTGCTTGGGACAAATCCTGTGTGATAATTCACCAGAAGGCCTAAAAAAATGTGGCACGAAGGGTCCAGCTCCCTCTCTGTGAATGAGCAGTATATGCACACAGCTCAAGGGTACTTGGCTGCAGCCTCTTGTAGTACTAGCTCCTGTTTTCCAAGCCACTAAAGCATGAAAGGATCTCTGGAAACACTGGCTAATCCTAGGTAGCTCTCTTTGGCATAGTTCTTTTATGGTTCTAAACTACCCAGAAGAGAATAAACTCAATAAAATCCTCATGTGAAATGGTACTAAATCACTTAAGTCATTTGTTAAACATATGTATAATCATTCACAAAAATATATCAAATATTTAATTTTGAAAATCTAATAATGATGCAGTGATGTCAGAGATATGTTCGAAAATAACCCATAGATGTATTTGAAAATAACCTTTCTAATTTCTTTTTTTTTCCTTCCTGCAAAGCAACCATATGGGAATAAGAAAAAATAAACTCTTACATTTCAAGAGAAAAGTTTAAAAAATTAAATAAAAAAACACATTCCAGGCAAAATTCAATGATTATTTTCTGAGTTCCTCTAAGAAAAAATATTATATATTTGAGAGCGCCATATTATTTCCCTTAGTATCTCAGCTGTTTTGTAAGACTCGATTGAATATAAGAATTACTTTGAAGGGGAAGGTACTTTTCTATTTCTATTTGCAGCTTGCAAACTGAGTTAGTGTAGCCTTAAAGTGAATTTGGATCTAGTAATACACTAATAACACCTGTCATTTATAGAGCATCGCACTAAACTCTTATACATATTTATCTGCTTTGCTTATTACAAAAATGATTCTCATATTTCAGAAGAGAAAATTGAGGCTCAAGAGGTTATATAACTTGCTTCATAGTCACACAGCCAAAATGGGACAGAACCGGTATCTCAGAACCTAGGGTCTCCTTTCCTTTGCCATCCTGTTCTCTGCAGCACTCCCAGCAAATGTGTTGCCTGGAAATTTCCAGGGGGCTTTCTGAGCTCCAACGGGCTTACCAGGTATGAGATGGCTCCATAACATTGTAGCGAAAGGGAGGGTTGGAGGACTGGAAACTTCTGCTCTATCTTGGGGCAGGGAGTGTCTTCTCAAGGCCAGCTAGGACACCCCATGTGTGGCTATGACAGTGGGCAGATGGGCTCATATTCTAGCACTTTCTTCTCGCACACAGTATCCCCTTGGTTACCTTTCTTTTCTTTTCTTTTTTTTTTTTTTTTTGAGATAGGGTCTGGCTCTGTTGTCCTGACTAGACTACAGTAGAACAATCTTGGCTCTCTGCAACCTCTGCCTCCTGAGTTCAAGTGATTCTCGTGCCTTGGCCTCTCATGCAGCTTGGATTACAGGTTTGGGCCACCATTCCCGGTTAATTTTGTTGTATTTTTAGTAAATATGGGGTTTTGCCATGTTGGCCAGGCTGATCTTGAACTCCTGGCCTCAAGTGATCCTGCTGCCTTGGCCCCCACAGTGCTCTCCTTGGTTACCTTTCTTAAGTAGCACCACAGTTGCGTCGCAGTTGCTGCTGTCATCAATTTCAGCATTGTTGGCCAATCCGTTGACCATGTTCCCGGCACCTTTTGTCCTCCTCTCAAAGCACTGATGTATGCAAGCGTTATATCTGAGCAAAGTAACAAGTGGGCAGAGTCCATCAGTGTTTGCCATTCTGCCATGTCTCAGCTCCCACCGAGTGCTCCTGGGAGCTCTCCCAGTCTGCATGTACAGTCCCCAGAGCTCAAGTTATTACTGTTCTAATTTTCTCAACCCATTCCCCCTCAGCACATACAACCTGTCCCATTTCCCAATTTATGAACAAATGGTAGGTGAAAAGAAAACCACCATTATAGAAATAAACCAGATCACACTGCTTACTTTGCAACCTCTTTCATGCCAGTGGAGGCCTCTCCGGGATTGAGCTCCCCTTCTCAGTCTGCATATGGAAGGACTGTGCTAAGACTCAGTGGGATGGTCAAGGTCTACCTCCTCTGGGCCACATCTCCAGGGCCTTTGTAATCAGGGACCAGTTTTTTGGAAGAAGGGGAAGCTGCCTCATCCACACCACTCCCCAAGAGCAGTGGCTGTGTGTCACAGTCTATGTGCTACAGGTCAGTTGGCCATCTAGGTCTCTATGTCTTTGGTTTCCTGAGGTCACGGATTGGGATTCTGCAAATTTCTATGACTATCGTGCCTAAGTTCCAGATCCAGTGGGCCCTTGGCTTTATGAAAACTTCTAGGCTAGGATCCTCCCGAATGATCACGTGAATACATTGTGCAGTGTTCCTTACATGCCCCAGCAGGCTCAGGTGGGAAGGGAAGAAGCTTGTACAAGTTCCAAGGGTGGTTTTTTGCAAGTAAATGTTCCAGTCTCCCTAGCTTTAGTATGAGAAGATTCCCACAGAGGAATTCTAGAAAACTCATAAAAACTCATGGGCAAAGACAGCCAGGCACAGTTTCCAGGTCACAGAAGGCTGCTACTGCTTTTCCCCACTCATCGTTTACTGGCCATGGGGCAGCTCGCTGGGGACCTCCAGTTTAACCTCCAGCCTCCCATAGGAACGGCAGCTAGGCATGGTGACCCTAAGTTGACAGCTGGAAGGCCACTCAACCTGGCCATGGGATGGCTCACTAGGGACCTCCAGTTTGACCTCCAGCCTCCCATAGGAATGGCAGCTAGGCATGGTGACCCTAAGTTGCCAGCTGGAAGGCCACTCAACCTATGTTTCTCTTCCCCTCCTCAACTCTTTTGCTGCTACAGACATGAAGCTCTCTGGATTCCCTCCCAGCTATCTCCCTTGCGCCTGATTCTTCAGTGGGGGCAGCTCTAGGGTGGCTGGCTTATGGCAACAAGACCTCAGAGAGATGAAGAGGTCCTCTGTAGCTGGACCATCTCGTCCATGAGGTCTTTCCTGTACACTCTAGGAACATGCAGTTACTACACTGCATGAGAGAGAACAGAAAACTAGTCAAAGTGACGGGTGCCATTTGTAGTTCATAAGACACGAAGCATAGAATTAGAACAGCACTATTTTGCAACCCAAATGAAATAATGGATCCAGATACTGAGCACTGATGGCTGCCAACATTACAGACAGAGAAAGGCAGACATCGCCGTGCCTCCTGATGATGGAACTTACCACCACTTGGGACATAGTCTAGCCCGAATCAGATCAATTACAGACATGCAGGAAACACAGAGGCCAAGGGAACAGACTGCACCACAGCATGGGATATAATCAACACTTTTCAACTGTGGGCAACTCTGCAGAGCAAACAGCCAAACTTCATCAAAGAACAAAGTGCAAGGAAAATGCACACACACACACACGCATATACAGACACTCACACAGAGACACACAGACACAGACACACACACACACACAGACACACAGACACACACAGAGACACACACACAGACACACACAGACACAGAGACACACAGACACACACGCAGACACAGACACAGACATGCAGCACACACACACAGACACACACACATAGACACCCAGACATGCACACACAGACACACATAGACACCCAGACATGCACACACAGACACACACAGACACATACACAGACACAGAGGTCAAGGAAACAGACTGTGCCACATCAGGGGATGTAATCAACACTTTTCAACCGTGGGCAACTCTGCAGAGCAAACAGCCAAACTTCATTAAAGAACAAAGTGCAAGGAAAATGCACACACACACATATGCACACACACACATGCACACACACACACAGACACGGCACTCAGTCAAGGGCCACCAATTCTAATGAGTGGAATTTATTTGAATTCTCATTTTTTAAATATTTATGATATTCAAGAAACTAAAAGAAAACAATCAAAAAGACATTTGTTAGGCCACTGAAAATTTGAACGCTGGGTATTTTATGACATTAAGGAATTAGTATTAATTTTAGGTGTGATGATAATGTTGTGGTTATGTTAAAGACAATTGTCCTTATAGAATCCTAAAAGAGTATCCAGCTATGTCTAGAGAAGTCCAGATGTATACTGGAATTTTTGTGGATGAGCTAGTATGATGTCTGGGACTTCCAAATTACAGAAGAAAAGGGAAGTGAATATAGTGTGGATGGGGCAACTGTGGGTTGATGGTTTCTGGGGCTGGTGATGAGTGCGTGGGCTTCATTATACTATTCTGTTGACTCTTGTATATATTCAAAATTCCTGTTAGTGAAAAGACCTCCACACTTTATAGACTCAACAAGGATGCCTTGCCCCATAGGGCGACAGGGAAAGAGGCGGTGTTTCTGTCATCTTGACTTAGAATCCATTTCCCTGAAAGAAATATTGACTTGCATAAAGGTTGCTTTTTTTTTTTTTTTGAAACAGGGTCTTGCTATGCTGCTGAGGTTAGTCTCAAACCCCTGGCCTCGAGAAATCCTCTCACTCTAGCTTCCTGAATAGTTGGGATCACAGGCATGCACCACAGTGCCCAGTGATTAGGTTTTGCTTTTAAAGTACAAAAGCAAACCCATGTATTATACATTTATCAGGGTTTAGAGAACAGGATAATAATACAATACAGTGAGGGCTTTCTTGAAACTGGATGCAGAGTTAAACTAAGCTTATCTTAGCTTGACAGCTTAACTAAGCTGTCGCATTCCGTTCTCATGGAATATATATAATAACAGTAGAAATTATTATTAATCTTTTTTTGCAGAAGAGGAAACTGAGATTCAAGACGGCTGAATAACTTGGCTGAGGTCCCACGGCTGTCAGTGGCAGGGGGCTCCGCTGTCAGGGCCGAATGTGAGGCACTGGTTCTTAACCACCAGCACACATAACCCATCTAGGTAACAAATCCCAGAGCAGCGACCCGGGATGTACAGAAATCAATCCTTGCCAAGGCCAGGCATGCTTCATGCTCCCTGAAGGTTTCTACCAACCTGGACAATCTGAAATTGCTTTTTGACCTTCAGATAGAATGTTTAAAGTCCTTTAAAAACTCTCCACCTAGGACGCTGCTGACGATTTTAATATATGCTGGTGTGTTTTTTTTTTAACTACTGTTGCTGTTTTATATTTTTAATTGAATGTTTTAAATTTTGTGCTTGCACCCTGAAGCTATTTTATTGTGAAGCATGCAATTTTATAAATCAGATTTGATAAAACCCAATGATTAAAGCCTCTGATTGCAGAGGGGGATGGCTAAAGAGCAGAGATTTCAATTTAGAACTTAGGACCAGAATTTATGCAGAAAATTTCATGAGCACAGTAGCTTCCATTCCCGGTTTTGTTTGTATCCTGCTGGTCTGAACAGCTGGAATGTTGGTAAAAGTGAGGCATCAGCAGAAACACACCTCATTAGCTTTCACATTTGGTATGGTTTGGGGAAGAGGAGAGGATGTGTTCGCTGTTCTATCTTACTGTCCATGTGTTCTGACAGCAACTCATGGGCTTCAAGGTGGCTTAGAAAGGGGAGCAGGGGCCATAGGATGCATGACAGCAAAATTCCTCAACTCTCCTTCCCTCTGGTCACATCTGTTTTTGAAGAATACTTAACTCTGTGAAGCCCCTAGTGAATTCATTTTGAAACGTACTTTCTTGAAAATTAAGATTCAAGACCCAAGATTAATGTTGGGCATAGAGCAGACACTGTACGGTGATTCTTCCAGAATAATCAACTAATCCACTTTTGGGAGCTCAATCAGACCCTCAAAATGTTAAAAAATTGAAACAATGCACTGGAAAACAACAAAGGAAGATGTGTGAGTACACACACAGACAGCAGTTTGAGGCTTCCCCACTTGGCACTGATTCGCTATATAGCTTTGCTGTTTGAGGCAAAGAGGCATAAGATGGGTGCTCTGATCTTTAAAGGCCTTTCCTTTGGGGGCTGGAAACTTTGGAAAGGCTTTGGGTCAACTCTGAGTTTCATGAGAGCTCATCTGTCGGTATGTGACTTCACGGTGTGTGACTTCTGGTTTCTTCATTAGTTACCTTATGGTACCAGGATATGTATGAGTAAGGTCCTACTCTAGCAATGCCCTTCTCCACTAAGCTCCAGATGTGCTTGCTCCTGTGATATTTGCCAATGTCCACGTTGATTTCTCTCAACAAGTGTCTCAGTCACTGGTCACCAGAAATAACTTTTGTCAGGCCTCAACAATAAGAAACCTTAACGTGTCAGTTCCAGACTGCTACCTGATATGTCCAAACTTGCCAGTGTTGATGGATTTCTACTTTCTTGCCCCTAGAGAAGGCAGTCACTCCTACAGCTACATATGCTGGGGAAACACGGGCTAATTTAGAGGAAAAGAAGCTGCTCCCACAGGAGTGGGCAGCTGTAGCATAGAACATCTCTGCATTATTTATAACCTCCTCATCCCAGTGGTGCCTGGCAAAAAGATGAACCAGCAGGCTCACAACCATGATGCTTACATGGTGCTTACAACTTAGAGCATGGGAAACATTGGCCATATAATTTTTTTTTTTCCAATGAGATGGGGTCTCACTCTGTCACCCAGGCTGGCGTGGTGGCGTGATCTCAGCTCACTGCAACCTCGCCTCCTGGGTTCCAGAGATTCTCCTGCCTCCTCCCAAGTAGCTGGGATTATAGGCACGCACCACCACACCTGGCTAATTTTTGTGTTTTCAGTAGAGACGGGATTTCACCATGTTGGCCAGGTTGGTCACGAACTCCTGATTTCATGTGATCTGCTCACCTTGGCCTCCCAAAGTGCTGAGATTACAGGCATGAGCCACCACGCCTGGCAAATTCTTGATATAAATAAGCTACCCCAACTCCAGGAGGGAAAAGAACACATGACATGGTGGTTTTAAAATATATCAACAGTTCTTTGACACTCTTCCCTTCACTAGGTGATGCCAGCCCCTTGAGTGTGGACTGGACTTAACGACTCGCTTCTAATAAACAGAATACGGTAGAAGTAATGGCATGTGACTTCTGGGATATTATAAAAGGTGTTGCAGGGCCCTTCTTGCTCTCTGCTTGAATCACTTGCTCTGGAGGAAGCCACTCAAGCAGCTCTAAGGAGGAGCCCACGTGGTGAGAAACTGAGCCTGCCAGTCAAGAGCCAGCATCACTTGAAGGCAGGTCCTCCCACACCTGTCCGGTACATGATGGCAACTCTGGCTGACTTCTTACCTGCAACCTCATGAGAGACTCTGAGCTGGAACCTTGCAGTTAAGCTGCTCCCGGATTCCCAACTCTCAGATAATGTGTGAGATAATACACATTTGTGCTTTTAAGCCACTAAGTTTCGGGATAGTTTGTTATGCAGCAGTGGATGACTAATATCACGCAAATAATGGAAGTCCACAGATATTTGATCCATGATTTCAGTTGTCTCTTAACTAACTCTTCATCAGTTACCTCACGATAATTCCATGCCAGGATATGTTTGATGAAGGTCCTACCCTAGGAATTCCTTCCACAAGCAAGCCCTAGATACTGGGTCTACACAGACCACCGGAGGGCTGGCTCACGTTGGCCGCCATATTGAGTAGACTGGCAGTAGACTACCTTGTATCTTCCCTCACCCTCTATTGCAGTGTAATGTATTGAGTTGTATCTCCTTTGTGTTAAGAAAGAGAGTGAAGAAACCTTCCAGAGCTAGGCTGCCAGATCCTGAAGAGAGATTAGAGGTTCTAGAGAGTTCTCAAGTGAAACATTGAAGCTTTGAGTTTATCATCGTATATGGGCTGGAAGGGTCACTACAATTGATACTAATCAAAATTACAGTGACTCACAGCAGTCTGGCAGGGAGCCAAGTGACTGTGATGATACACACTGAAAAACCAGTCAGATACCCACCCCAACCCTCTTCCCATGTCATCACATAATGTGGAATGCAAGAAACAGTTTTGGAAAAGAAATGAAGAATTTTACTTACTTCATGATGACAATGTAGATAAGATACATCAGCACAAGGACTAAAGACTCCCACCTGCATGTAAACCAAGAACAGTTAAAGACAGTCATAGACATCTGTGAAACTCACCTGCCCCCTTTTTAAAGACACATTTGATGCAAACGGCCAGGAGAGTAAGGAGAAGGCAGACGTCGCCAGTGATGGATACTTCCTGGTCTAGAGACATTCTCTATGCTGCATAAGGCTGTCAACCGTCTTTCTCTTCTCTCCTCATCTAAAGGGAAAATGCCCCTTCCTCTCTGTTATTTGTCACCTAAAAGAGCTCTTCGAAAGCAACAAGCCTTTCATACATGTTGCTGAATATAGGTCAATATGTATACATCTGGCCTCAGCTTAATCATTCACTGAAACTATTCAGATATATTTACAAGGGGAAACTAAAATTAGAGGAATTGACAGGGGTGCCTGAGGGATTGTTGGGTATACAGGAGCCACGCCAAAAGGGTAGAGGGGGAGAGAGAGGCAGGCAGGCAGACAGATGGAACCTGGGCAGGGAAGGTACCAGCCAAAGAGTAAGAAGGAATAAGTGGGAAGACATTCCACAGGAAGGAAGAAAAGAAAAACCCACTGGAATGCGCCTTGAGCTTCTAATAGTCTGAATACTTCTGTTTTCTTTATCTTAGTGGCTAACAGCTAAAAACCAGGAACTTGTTTTCCCGGTTTCGCTTTAGCTACAGGATTAAATCGGCTCATTGAGGGAGTAATTTTGGCTTCAACGGTAGGTTACTGGAGAATGGTCAGATGAGGAAACTCCAGGTTATATCCATCCTTCCTTTTCTCTTTTCAAATTCCATGTCTAGAAGCTGTTCCTTGAGAAATATTTGGTCAAATGTGAAAAGGATACATACACAAGGATTTTTCTTGCAGCAGTGTTTATAAAAAAGTGAAAAGCTGGAAAGAGGCCAGATGGTTATAAAATGGGGCACTGGGTACATAAATGATAAGTATGTTCATCTATCCATTAAGAATGATTATGCAGTCTGGGCACGGTGACCTGCTCCTGTAATCCCAGCACTTTGGGAGGCCGAGGGGAAAGGATCACTTAAGTCCCCAAGTTCCAGAACAGTCTGAGCAACATAACAAGATCCAGCCTCCAGAAAAATAATTAAAAAATTAGCCAGGTGTGGTGGTGTGCCCCAGGAGTCTCAGCTACTTGGGGAGGCTGAGGCAGGAGGATTGCTTGAGCTCAGGAGATGAAGGCTGCAGTGAGCTATGATCACACCACTGTACCGCAGCCTGGGCGACAGAGTAAAACCCTTTCTTCCTTCTCCCCTCCAAAACAAATTATGCAAAGATGTATGTATTTATTCTAGAAAGTGCTCAGGATGCACTATCGAGAGAGGAAATCAGGGTATCCAAGCCCTTTCAATTTCCGCCACATCTCTCAGTTTCTTTCGTGGCAAAACTTCTTAAAGGGCTGTGCACACTGCATTTCAGTGCCTCTCATTCAGCTGGCAAATTTCTGTAGCCTAACTTCCACACCCACCGATCTCTTGAATCGCCTGTCAAGGGCACCAGTGATTTCCATCCACACCAATCCAAGAATGAGTGGGTGGTTGTCCGTCATCCTGTTCCATTTCTTGGTAGCATCTGAAAGGAGATCGTCTGCCCCACTTCATAAAACCCTCTCTTCTGACTTCTGAGAGGCCATACCCCTGGCTTCCTTCCTGCCCCCAGCTTCTCCTTCTCCACCTCCTTTGCCTCCTCCACTCCTTCAGTTCATCCTCTCATTATTGGGCCATCTTTATTGCCTATGTTTTCTCCCTAGGTGACCTCATCCTGACCGATTGCTATAAACACCAAATACGTGATAATGACCCCCAATTTACACATCCATGCCACACCTCTCTCCAGCCCCAGATTAATATATCGGGCCTCTGCACCTGGAAGTCTAAATGTCTATCAGAACGAATTCTTCATTCTTACTTCCTAGCCTCCTTAAAAAAAAAAAAAAAACAAAAAACCTGGACTTTGTCATTTCAGTCAACTGTACCACTCCCTGCCCAGTCAAGCCCAGAATCTGGAAATCAATAAGGAACTCTCCCTTTTCCTCACTCCCATATTCATCAGACTTTGTGACTCAAGTATTTCATCAGTCATTGATTCTTTCCTCTCTACTGCGCCCTCCCTAGGTCATTTTCACTTCAACCTCTGAACTGGTTTCCTTGATACTATGGGAGCATGTCACTGCACTTCTTAAAATCTTTACTTACTTCTCAAAACGCTTAAGAAAAAAATGAAAGTTTCCTTTTACTTTGCAATTCCTGGCCTTTTCTTGTGTTTCCAAGTTGTCCTGTGTCCTGTCTGTGCCCCACCTCACTGGCCTTTCATTTGCACACAGCCATCTCCTTCCCTCTCCCAGAGCCTTTGCACTGAATGTTCTTTGGACCAGGAATGCCTTTCTCTTCACTCCTTTGCTGGCCCCTTTTATCCTGCAGATACCAGCTTTTAAATATCACCTCCTCCAAGCAATCCTCCCTGCCTGCCCCTGCCCGACTTTCTCTCACATGACCCTGTTTATGTTCTTTAAACCTCTAAGCAGTCTGTGATTATCTTGTTTATACATTTATTACTCATTTATTATGTAACACACACCTGTTTCTAGCAGTCACTTGACACCACTCCTCACACCTGACACCTTCCCTGGTATCTGGTGTCTCATTTTCCAGAGATTTAAAATGCCGACGGCTCATTTCTCCCCACGCAGACACCCTCAGGTCTTGCCCACTCGCCTCTTCTCCCCAGCACAAAGCAACCCTCAGCTCATCTGTGCAGGTGACACTCCCTCCAAACATCAATTTTCAGTTGCAAAACGCCTCCAGTGGCCTGAACATGGTTCTTATCTCGTCGAAATCAATGTACACGTAGCATACACTTCATGGTGAAAAGTAAGATTCATTCACAGCCCATTCATTTGGAAGGAACAGACTCCCAGGATCTGAAGGGATGTTACGTTATTGCTTAGATGCATTTTTATAGATTCAGTGAGAAGTCACCAGAAAATGAATCAACTTTAATGAAATATTGTAGTCAGATTGAATTAAGTCCAGCACTTTCTAAACAGGTCTATGTATGCTGTTTCTAATTCTTTTAGATCTTTTCAATTTTTTACTCATCAAAAGCCCTTCTGTTGCAATATTCAAAACAGGTTCTCTTTGGCCATTTTGCAGAGATGCCTGTAGGATAAGATTCCTTGCTTTTGTTGACATTTCAAGTTTGCTCTGTTGGCGTTCAGACACAGGACTCACCAGGCGTTCTCCCCGGTCAACCCAGTGGGCTCTAGGAGGCCTCTGTGCGCCCCACCTACTGTTCCTTGTGCATTTTTGACCTGATTGAGTTTGGATCATCAAGCCTTGGCCTAATGCTCTTCAGGACCCCTTCCCCCCACCCCCTCTCCCCAGTGTGGTGAGCCTCTCCATGTGGCCCCATAGTTACATGTCAAGGGTCTGCATCCCTCCAGCCTGAGAGAGCTCCAGGTCAGGCCAGCTCTGGTTTTGTATGACATGTTTCCCTGGTGTAGAGGAGGTGCTTAGGAGGCATCCAGACATTGGAAGTCACTCAGCTTTCCTCGCCCTTTCACCTAGGACGCTGTGCACCTTCTCCCCTTTCCTCCTGAGCACACCTCATCCGCTGTCTTCTGAGGATCCTGTTCTGTGGCTGATCTAGGTTTGTTTCTTCCCTCCCCAAGCTTCCATTTTGAATCATTTTCAACAGATCCCTGATTCTCACCAAAGACGGTTCCTTCTCAGATGTGAGGACTGCTCCTCTCCTCACCTGGGTGCACCATTTGCTCAGGTTTCCTGAGCACAGCCGTGAACAGCAAAAGCTGTTCTCCAGCCCCACCAGGAAGAGTTTCCAGGTTGCAATTCCACGGTCTCTTTTCTCTCCCAAAGTCACAGCTTTGGACTCAAAAGAAGAAACCAAACCATCGCCCTGCATTCTTTAGTTTTCTTGTTGGGTCTTCAGACTCCCTGGAGGCACATTCCAAATTCCTTCCAGCAACATTATGGGCCTTGCTCTGTGAGTCGAGCGTACATCCTAATAGCTGGGCCTCTGACACTTTTTTTTTCTTTTTTTTTGAGACGGAGTCTCGCTCTATCGCCCAGGCTGGAGTGCAGTGGCACAATCTTGGCTCACAGCAACCTCCGCCTCCAGGGTTCAAGCTATTCTCCAGCCTCAGCCTCCGGAGCAGCTGGGACTACAGGCGTGCATCACCACACCTGCCTAATTTCTGTATTTTTAGTAGAGATGGATTTTCACCATATTGGCCAGACTGGTCGCAAACTCCTAATCTCAAGTGATCCACCTGCCTCAGCCTCGCAAAGAGCTGGGATTACAGGCTTGAGCCACCATGCCCGGCCGATGCTTCCTATTTCAATGTCTTTTAGCGCATAGGCACCTAACCGAAAAGTACTCACCACTATTCCCCTGCCTCTTCCCTGCTAAGAGAACCCCAACCACTAGGTCCAGGCAGCATATGGAGCCCTTCTGATCTCAAACAGGGTGCGCCTTGCCCCTAGGCCCTGAGGATGAATCATGGTTGGTCTAAAGTGGTCATTCTAATCTCCCTGGCTGCTCAGTGGTCAAGGCAGACCCTGTAGTGACCAAAGAGATGCAAGGTGGAAGTGTGCCAAAAATAACAACAGTGCCCCCTTCTTCCTCCCTCCTGCCTTCAGGATGAACTTGGTGGCTGGGACTGCAGCAACCATCTTGGGACCATTAAGCAAAGGTCAGGGGAAATGCAGAGCCACGGCACCAAGTACATCCGGGGCACCGATATGTAAGAAAAACACACCACTGTGTTTTCAATACGCTGTAGCTGGTTCTTCTAGTACCTGCTACTAAAATCATTCCTGACTAACTGTCAACTGCCATTTTTTGACTGAATGTGACTTCCTGCAGAAGGCTGCTTCAGGAATGGTGAAAGAATATGAGCTGTATGACAGGGGTCCTTTGTCCTGGTGTATTTGTATTGGACAAAGCTCACTTCCTCCTAAAGAGTACTGTAGTTTCAAAATAAATTAAAATTTGTTTCCTTTTGAGGATTTTGGGGATTGAACTGGTTACCTGCCTTGAAATCTCTAGGCCATGCTGGAATGTTTTATAACAAGGAATGGAACTCTCTCCTAAAGGTATTTTCAAAATGTTACTGTGCTTTAATTGCACAGACCGAAGACTCTGATTTTAAAGAGAGAAATCAGCACCTAGACGCACCATTTCAGCAAAATGAATGGTCATGATTGGCTTGGTAAGAAGATAGAAGAAGTGAACAGTAAAAAATTCTTAAACTTCCATATATTTTTCATCCACTAAATGAGAAGTTCAAATCCCTGGGAGTCCCAAGGTAGATAAGGGCCAGTGGCACAGACTTTAATTTCTCAGCCTCACTCATGTGCAAAATGCTCTTCATCAGACCATGTGTGTAATAATAAGTTACACGACAGGCCAGCGCTTTGGGAAGAATGGAGCTCTGGTGCCACCAAGGCCTCCCAGGCCAGTTCTTCCCTGGAATCCACAACTGTGCATGACTTATGATTCCAACATCCCCCAGATAGATCAAGACACTCCTGGGGATTCGCAACTCATGTATCCATGGCCCTCCCAGCCTCTCACTCCTAACTGGATGCGAGGGAGCCTCGATGCTCAGGGCAAGGGCTCTGATGACTTGTGCCTTCCAGAATCTAGACCCTTCTGCTGCAGGCTTGGGCACCTACCCTAGGATGGGGTTACCTAACATCATTGGAAAAGTCTTAGGAATGAAGATGAAATAGACACTCCTTTCCTTGCTCCAAACCATCTGAACTATCCCGAGATGTTTTGAGGATACGGAGTGAAATGGGCTGATGGTGAAGCCTGCTTTCTTCACTTGCCACGGCTTTCATACAGCAATGCCACGGAGGTAGTAGAAAAGACGGCTCCCTCCAAGGCTGACAGCAAATCATCCTGGGTAGCCTTTCCTAACATGTTTCTGCACAACAGCAGCACACACATTTCTGAGATCAACTGTGATCACGACTTGTTTGTCTTTTGGGGAGTGTCATTAGCAAAGACTAGCAACACTGAGCAATGCTGAAGCACCTACTGTTTGCTAAGGCGGAGCAGTGGTTGTGCAAACTATGCCATCAGCTTCTGGAAGTTTTCTTGTGCGGCGCTTTATCCCCAAGGACATGGGGGAAAAATACTCCACATTGCATTTGGCAGCCACCTCCAGGATGATATAACAAGGAGGCTCTCTGATCTGGGGTGCTCCTTTCAGCCTATTGGTCACGATCATTCAAAGAAGATCTCCTTCTTATTTTCTCCTAGCTGTCTCTCCTTCTCTTCCTTCTTGCACAGAGGAGAGAGAGTTAGCAAAAGTATCTTAATACCCTGACATAGCACGTAACCTGTATCATCAATGTGATGGGTTCTCCACCTCCTGCTAATCCTGAAAATCAGAGACGTCCTCAGACACAGAGAGGCCCACTCCAACAAAAGAGTTAGCAGTCATTTTGCGGAAAGTGAAACCTGGTGGACTCTACTTTTTCTGGCTCATTCCTAGCTTTCAGTAATAGGGAAATTTTCTACCTACGCGTATTCCTAAGATGTTATTTCACATTGCTTACCTCTGTAGATCAAATATTAGAAAATATGCAACGAAAATGCACAATACACTCAACTTCCATTTCCATTTCAAACATGTTCAACTTGCTCAGAACCCATCTCAAAAACGTGAACAGTTGGCCCAAATGAAAATGTCTTCCCATATATTTAATTTGGGCAACAGTTTCTGTCTATCAAAATAAAAAATCCCCAACAATACCAATTTTCAGAGCTCTAAGATCTTTTGAAAGTCAGGAGGAACTTTAATGGGTTAATGGTCACTGAAGTGCCTGGGTCCTAATTCTTAAAATAAACATGGGAGCTTGGTTTGGACACAATTTTAAAAGATCAGTCAAATCTTTTTTTTTTTTTTTGGAGACGGAGTCTCGCTGTATTGCCCAGGCTGGAGTGCAGTGGTGCGATCTCGGCTCACTGCAAGCTCCACCTCCCCGGTTCACGCCATTCTCCTGCCTCAGCCTCTGGAGTAGCTGGGACCACAGGCGCCTGCGACTACGCCCGGCTAATTTTTCTTGTATTTTTAGTAGAGATAGGGTTTCGCCGTGTAAGCCAGGAAGGTCTCCATCTCCTGACCTCGTGATCCGCCTGCCTCGGCCTCCCAAAGTGCTGAGATTACAGGTGTGAGCCACTGCGCCGGGCCTTTCTTTTCTTTCTTTCTTTCTTTTTTTTTTTTTTAGATGGAGTCTCACTCTGTCGCCCAGGCTGGAGTGCAGTGGCATGATCTCGGCTCACTGCAAGCTCCGCCTCCCAGGTTCAGGCCATTCTCCTGCCTCACCCTCTTGAGTAGCTGGGGCTACAGGCACCCGCCAGCGCATCTGGCTAATTTTTTGTATTTTTGGTTTCACCGTGTTAGCCAGGATGATCTCGATCTCCTGACCTCATGATCCACCCGCCTGGGCCTCTCAAACTGCTGGGATTAGGGGCATGAGCCACTGCACCCGGTCAAAAGATCAGTCAGATCTTCACTCTGCCCTAGCACATGGCTGACTGTAGAAAGACACAGCTAAGCCATGATGTCCAGACATAGGATGATAAAGACATTTAGATATTAGGATCTCAAATGGAACCCCGTCACTCTAGCCCAAGAGAAAAGGTCTTTACTCTGTGAAAATGAATTTAATTTCTCTCCTGGGGTGTGCAGAGGGTTCCCAGGAAATTCTCCTCATTATAAGCTGTCATGACATTTTTCTTTCTTTCTTGAATCCTAACTCTGGTCTTCAATATATTTGGCTCTACAACACAACATTCGGAAATGAGAAGGGGGAAAAAGAGGTACTTACCAGGAAACTTTTTCATCATAAATGAACTGTGAAAAAATAAAAAGAATAGAAGATTAGACACACACACACACACACACACACACACACACACACACACACACCCAATACTCTTTAAGGCTGCACACAGTGTCCACCTTGTTCCTGGCATGGTATAATCAGGACTGGGTTGTCCTGAGACCTGGAGTCCCTGTGAGTAAACTCCCCTCTGTACTGGTTTTGCCTTTGGCCAGTGTTAGTGGAAGGAGGTGTTCGCAGATCAGGGTGGGCATGTGTGGAAAGGAGTAGCCTCAGGTAATTCCCTTCTTCCTGCAATTTCTGTACAACATCAGAGTGACAGGCAAGTGTGACTAACCTGCTTTGTAAAGCAAGGCTCATTATAGAATCTTAGATCTGCAAGGGGATGTAGGAGCTCAGCAGGTACTTCCAAGTATTAGTCTCTGTAAGATTTCTGCATGTCTGTGCATCTTCAGTTTTTATGCAAGTGCTTGGACTTCTATGGGCTCCATTTTTTCTTTTAATAGATTTTTTTTTGGTTTCCTTAAAATAATTTATTTTCAAAGGAAACTTCACATCACAACCAGAAGTAGGGGCTCAACACCCCTTGCCATCACCCTGAAAAATAAGTGCAATCACAACAAATGGTGTTTGCAAATCCCAGTTGGACACTGTCGGCTGCCCAAGCCCTGGGCATGGTCTGCCCTTTCAGTAAGGAAGATTATTAGGGGTCAGAAGCAGTCAAAGGCACACTAGCATCCCACTGAAGTTTACTCATCAGTTGGGACTTGAAAGAGAATACAGAGAGAATACATGGCAGGATTTAATCTACTTAAGTCCTGGTCTACATACCATCTGAAATCATTTCCCACCTTGTGGGGTGGGGGCGGGGGAGGGGGAATCTAGTGTAATCCTTTGATTATACAGGGAAACCGAGTCACAGAGAACGTAAGTAATTTTCCTGGGGTTGCTCCATCTGCTGCAGAATTGGCTCGAAAACTCAGCCCCAGCTCCGAATTTGGTGTCCTTTTCAGGACACACATGGCTAATGACATGTTGCCGAAACCGAACGAGTACACCTGTATCTCACAGAAGCAGGAGGCTGAGGACATGGTTCGTAGCTCTTTCTTCCCACACTCCTGAAGGACAACTGCTTTGAGTATGGTCATCTCAGAGTGGTCTTTCCTTTAGAGGCAGCAGCCCTCTGCAAACTGAAGCAGACACTTGCAGGACACTCTGGGTGTCAACCGCCATCACAGCTTGGAGATGGGAAACTTAGTTAACAAAGTGGGCATGGCATCAGCCCTCAGCCAGGGCAGGAACCACCAGCTGGGTAAAGACGTAGAGAACACCTCAGGGCATAGGTCACAAAGCGCATAAAAGGAACTCTTTCCAATTATCTTGAAGGTCAAAATGAGGATGAGGAGGAAGGAGCTGTGCTCATTTGTAACTCATTCTTCCTAACAAGCCATTGGAAACGTGAGCTTCATCATTTTTGTTACTTTCATCTTTGTTATCAGATTCAACAAGTTGACATTGGGATGACAACGTCAAACTAGAATGGGCAGAGAATTAAAGAAATATAGGCAACAATCTCATAATCCACGTTGAATGGCATGGAAGCCATCTCCTAGAAGGCACTGACAGCTCTTTTGGATAACCCCCTTTCTTTTTATGAAAAAAGATTGTTGTCAAAAAATCATGGAGCAGATCAAATTATTTAAGATAGAAAACATTTTCTATTAATTGAAGTTAATTCAATATCAGTCCTTGCAGCAGGCTGGAACAATCAATTTGTAGCCACTTAAGAGAACAGAAGATATTGAGAAAGAGTTTATTAGACCAGGCCAATTTAATTTTCTCCTATCAGGGAAGGCAGGCAATACCGTAGAATATGAGAGCAGCTTTCAGAAAGCCCTGATTCTGTGTGATCCTCCCCATAGCTGGGGCACAGATTCTGCAAAGGAAAAGCTTGGAGATCACTCACCCTGGAAGAAAGTGAACTTCCTGTCTGCTAGCAGTCGGCCCTGAGATTCATAGGACTTTAGCTACTGATGATTTCAATGATCATAGCAAAGAAAAAATGAGACTGGGCTTAATTGTATGAGGGACCCCAAATAGGCACACAATAATCAGAGAAACAGAAACAGTGGGCAAATCCGGGTGAGACTGGACAAAATATGCTATTAGGGACAGAGCTTCATGACCCTGGAGTCAAGAGAATGGTTATGGCTTGGGGAGCTGTGGTTGGGGATATTGTTCAGGGAGGCAGACAGGGAGAGAGAAATGCAGGTGATCTCACTACAAGTACTAACTAATGGTGGAGATCTGGAAACATGCAAATAACTGATACAGTTTCCCCTTTGATCTCTGCCTGGTGTGAAGATGCCCCATCACTCAGAATGCATAAGGGTAGAGGAGGAGAAAGGAGGAGGAGGAGGAGGAGGAGGAGGAGGAGGAGGAGGAGGCGGCGGCGTCCACAAAGCCAGGTCTTCTTTACCCTGTAGCTGACGGCAAACATCATTCTGGTTTATCCCTCTCCTTTAAGAGGATTGTGCGGAGGAATGAGAGGACTCAGAAAAGAACAACGAAATGAACAAAAGGGACTAGAAAATCTAAATTGGCTTGTCACAGTGGCTCATGCCTGTAATCCTAGCACCTTGGGAGATCAAGGTGGGAGAATCACTTGAACCAGGAGTTTGAGGCTGCAGTGAGCTATGATCTGATCACTGCATTCCAGCCTTGGGGAGACAGCAAGACCCTGTCTCTAAAAACACTGTAAGCAGAAGCAGGGCTTCCTCATCGTGAGAAAGGAGGTGGAGATGAGCTATGAACTGCCTATGAGCATTCCCTGCTGTTATTTGGAGAACAAACAGCTGGTCATCGCCTCTTTGGAAGACTGGAAATGAGGACTGGTACTGTTTGCAGAACGTTCCATCGGGAGGGTACCTTGCTGGACCATCTTGATGGAGCATTTGAATTGCTCTCTCGGAAAACTCTTCAAACAACAGGGATGAGGTTCCTTTCACTCGAGTTTGCTGAAGGTTAGGAAATGAATTTGTTATTCCTTAAAGATTTCATGTTATTCAATACACTTAATATACCCGTTGTATATCCCTCTGTAGTTTATGCTCTACTGGCTGAGAGTAAAAGAAATCAAAGCAACATCCCCCATTCCTTAGATCAGTATTATCAGTGTAGAAGAAAACTTGAAATCATTTCTTTCTAGACCAGAAGTTGCACCCACAGTTCCCCCCAATGACCACTAGGTGGTGCTCACGTTCCAGTCCTCCTTCCATGTCCAGCCTGCCAAGGTAGTGAAGTTGAAATGAAGTCAGTTCAAGTCCATTTTCGCAGCTCTATTAAATCTCCCGGAAGGAAGGGAAGCACCTCAAGGCAGGCAGCCTACTGAAGGCGGCTTCAGCCGCTGCTGTCATGGGGCAAGGTGGTGTTCCAGGGGCAGGTCCTGCCTGGTGCTCTGTCCTGTGGTCAACACTCAGTCCTCATGATGAGTTGCACTTGAGGGACCTCCTGTTGTGGGTTTTGGAACTGACTCAGCTTCTTCCCCATCAGATTTGTGAAAGCAAGGCATGGGTAAGCAGCTCTTCTCTCTGTGCCCTGTTGGTTCTGTTTGGGGGCCAGGCACTGTGATAGCCCAGAGACCACCAGGGGTGATCCTGATAGCTGGGTCTCAGATCTGCTGAGCACCAGCTGGTCAGGGGGCCTCTGCCCTCTGACCCACATGTGCTTCATCCAAAGTCACCCTTGGCTTCACCCTAAGGTTTCCACGTGTTCTGCCGCTGAGCGAAATGTTAAACAGGAATGAATTTGAAAAAAGCACTCATTTCCTCCAGGCTTCAGAGAAACGGCTGGGTACCATGGAAACCGGCATTTCATTCCTGGTGTCTGCTCCAGAATTCTTCCAAGCAAGACCGGCTTACAGCAGGCTGGCGAATCCCTGGATATCAGAACAACCCAGATAGCTGCCAAGGGAATGGAGTGCTCAACATGGAGAAGCAGGGGAGGAAGAGCCAGGAGCCCCTGGTATATGCGGGAGAAAAGACGCTGGCTGAGCTGGGAGGCAGGTGGCTGTCTCAACATCGCCATGTCAGCCCCTGGGTTTGCTTACTGTAAATTGTAACCATGAAGCAGGAGAGGCCGCACTGCTGAAGCCAAGACTTCATAGCATGTATTGTAATCACTGGCACCATGAGAATTTTAAGCAGCGAAAATAATAGGAGAAAATCAACATCATCATTTTCTTTCAAGAGACTGAAACCTGACACTCTTTCCTTCCTTGCTGTAAAGAAAACAGTCCTCCGTAGATTTTTCCCACTCAACATCACGGGAATTCCCTTGAGTGGGTGTAGTTCTCACTTCTTCAGCTCTCGGGTGGGGGTACAGACAGCTTAGCTAAGGCCATGGTGATTTCAACTGAGGAGAGGGATCCGATGGAATACATTGCAAAGCTGGCTGTTAGGCACCAATATCGCTTATATTTCAAAGTTAAGCAGGAATTCCTACTTCAGGATATCTTGTAGGCTGGCTTGATTGATGAAGGCTGTGGTTGCAGGAGGGCAGGGAATAAATGACCTAAGGGCAGGGCTTTAGCAGAGCTAATCATGTTGTATAAATACATAAAGGCAGGCTACAGGGAAGAAAAAAGGATAAGTACTGAGGATAAAGGAGACGGGGGTAGTTCAACCAAAAAGACTATGTTTGTTAGGCAGGGAAAACCGAAATTAAACACGTAGCTAAGGTTTCCAAGTTGTTCTTGTTAGAGATGAGAGGCTCCTCTCTGGGGTCTCCAGGCCAGCGGATGCACTTCTCTGTTCAAGCAGCAAATGCGAGTGTAACCGGTCTCCTAGTTTACCCAGTGTCATTAAAGCAGGCCTTTCCTTCCTCCTGTCGACAGCAGGCAACCTTTGTAAGACCATAGTTGATTTGTTTAAGGATCTTAAAATTCTGTCAAAGTGAGGATCTTCTGGCTACCATAGTTATTCCGACTTTGCCAGAAAGAGAGCTGAAATGT